TCCCAACAGTTGGTACGTTCATTAGTGGATTAAAGTCCGAATTGGCAGCGGAGGTAAGGTTAGATAAACCAAGAACCATGCATGCCGCCATGGAAGCCTCTAACATGCGTGATGATCACTTGCTGGCACTACGGAGGGTCATTCGACCGAAAGTGAGGCGACCGATAACTTTTTCTTCTAATGTTCAAAGAACGGGAGCCAATACAACAACCGGCAATAGAAAATATCTTTCATCGGGGGTTAAACGTTTGTCCTGGGAAGAGATGCAAAAACGGAGGGAGAGGGTTTGTGCTTTAATTGTGATGAGAAATTCACACCGGGTCATCGGTGCAAAGAAAGGCGATCGTTCTTCATTGAATTCATTGAGTCCGAAGAAGATGAAGCAGTGGTGGATAAATTGAAGAGTGTAATCGATTCTCACAAGGAGGACCCGAAGATATCTGTCCATGAAATGGCGGGAACTGAAGGACCTAAGACTATGAAGATGTCAACTTGGGTTCGCGATCGACGTGTAATTATGCTAATCGACAATGGTTCGTCACACAAGTTGAGCCGTTTGAAGTGAGGGTTGCTAATGGTGAAAGGTTGAAATGCTCGGAGTTTTACCGGGTGTGCCTATAAAAATGCAAGGGGTCACTTTAAAGGCCGACTTGTATGAACTGCCTTCATTAGGCCCGGACATGGTTTTGGGGGTTCAATGGTTGAAAGGATTGGGTCCGGTGACTACGGACTATAGGTTGGGAACAATGGAATTTCGTTGGGGTGATGGAATGGTTAAGTTATCAACCGAAAGGAGGAAACGAATGAGGTGAGTGCTCAAAGTTTGGAGAAATTGTGGAGGCAAGGTAGTCAAATCTTCGCCATTAGAGTTGATAAACTGGAGGGTGTTGATGTGGAACACATACATAGAGGGGAGATTGACGAGTTGCTTTAACAATTCGAGGAGGTGAAAGCAGATCCAAAAAATCTACCACCACGGAGAGAGTTCGACCATCGCATTCCCTTGTTGGATGAAACCAAATCCGCACATGTACATCCTTATCGGTATGCCCATTTTCAGAAAACCGAGATTGAGAAACAAGTTCGTGAAATGCTTGAGTCGGGATTAATGAGGCATAGTACGAGTCCTTTTTCTTCACCGGTACTCCTTGCCAAGACAAAGGATGGGACGTGGAGGTTTTGTACGGATTGTCGGGCTCTCAATGCGGCTACCATAAAAGATCATTTTCCAATTCCAAGCATCGATGACCTGTTGGACGAGTTGGCGGGATCCCGTTATTTTTCCAAGTTAGATTTGCGAGCTGGATACCATCAGATAAGGGTGACAGAAGAGGACATCCACAAGAAGGCATTCCGGACTCGTCAAGGGCACTATGAATATTTGGTAATGCCTTTTGGTTTATGTAACCCACCATCCACTTTTCAGTTTTCTATGAATTCGATATTTCAAGATTACTTGCGAAAATTTGTGTTGGTGTTCTTCGATGATATATTGGTGTATTCGAAGAATTGAGAAGAACATGTGATGCATTTGAAAGTGGTCTTGAATATTTTGAAGGAGAACGATTTTTAGATAAAGTCTTCGAAGTGTTCTTTTGGCCAAGAATCGGTGGAGTATTTTGGCCACATCATATCTTTTGAAGGAGTTAGAGTGGATTCCAAGAAAATTAAGGCGATGCTCGATTGGCCTAAACCGAAGAATTTGAAAGAACTATGTGGGTTTTTGGGGCTGACTTGATATTATCGAAAATTTTTCAAAGACTTTGGATCGATTGCTAAGCCATTGACGGAGATGACAAAAAAGGAGGATTCAAATGGTCGGCTAGTGTTTGTCCCATTTTTGTTGCTATTTTCGTTGATATTTTGTGCGTTGTTTCCCCCGTTTTAGGTCTTTTCTTAGGTATTTTCGGTCCCTTTTGTCGTTTCTTGCGTTTTATCTTTATTTTGGTGTGTTTAGTATTTTCTGTGTTTTCTTTCTTATTTTCTTTGTTTTTTCGTGTTTTTTCCGGTGGTGTGGTTTCAGGTTTTAGGTTGATCGCATTTGTGAGCACTCTGACTAGAGGAGACGTGTGTTGTTCGAGCATTGTTTTGCGAACCCAAACATACGAGTATCGAGTTTCCAGCTCGGGCAGTACCCGAGCAATGCTAGACGAGGACGCAAACCGAAGAAAAAGCCACAACGTTGATCTTCCAGGCCTTAGCGCCGCTAAGGCCATAGTGGATAGCGCCGTTTTGATGCTTAGCGGGGCCAGAGGGGAGCAGCTAACGAAGCTTAGCGGCACTAAGGAAGGTTAGCGCCACTAAGGTGGTTTAGCGGCGCTAAGAAAGGTTAGCGCCGCTAAGGTCTGTTTTGTAACAGCTGCGGGATTTTCGTGATTTCAAATTGAGGCTGATTAAGATCGAGCTAAGGGCTTTGGAAAGACATTCAGACTTCGTCTTTTTCATGTCTTTGATAGCACCAACATATTTTCTCTTTGTTTTCATTTTGGATTGGATTTTGGAGCATAAAAACTCATTTTTCTAACTTTCGGATTTGGATTTCTCGTTGTTCTCTCGACATTGAATTTCGTATTAATTGTAAATTCCCTTTTTATTTTCATTGATGAATGTTATGGCTTTCTTTGATGAATATGATTGTTGAG